TGCATTACATTATAACAGGGATTTTTGCTGACGGACGGTTGGAGAGAAGACATGCTGCTAAAGAGTCGACTGACTCCAAGGACATATTTGTGTACAAGTGCACCGCGAGACGCACTCTACTCGGGGTAAGTCCCTTATCAACAGCTTGGTTTCAAGGTGGTAGTGCCAGTTGATCATGGCGTCATCGATGATATGGCGCAGGAGAAGGGGTCGGCGAAGAAGGTGGAAGAGAGGCGCTATAGAGGAGTGAGGGGAAGGCCGTGGGGCAAATACGCGGCGGAGATAAGAGACCCCAAGAAGGGTGTGGGGTTTGGATTTGGCGGGGTTTTACACATAAGCAGTATAAAACCAAATTCATGAATGGACAAAACTGACATATCCGGGGATGCAGCCTTAAATTTGTAACATGACTGCTTAAACCAACAAGGAAAAAAAAAAAAGAGTGATGTGGCACGGATATAGTTAACTAGATCATTACATCAGCAATTTCGTAGTTAAAATTAGTCAAAAAATTATATTGGAAAATCGTCAAAAAGTTTAGAACTAAATTAATTAAATTGAAAAGCCTAGGACCGAATTAGCCATACTACAATAGGTTTTAGAATTTTTTTTATATAATTTTCCTGAGGGGTGACTTTGTTTGATCTTTTGGGGTCCTACCTTTTATTATTCCTTTGAATTATCTCCTTTTGTCTTTTTGCGTTGATCTAAATAAGAAACATGCGGTAAAAAGAATCGTGTAAGTTCTGTATATTAGTTGTGGTCCCTTAGTTATTGAAAAAAAAAACCATAATATCTTTGTGGGCAACTCTCTCTCTCTCCCAAAAAACCCTCATTCAAAGAAACTTCACTACTCTCAACTTCAAATTTCTAAAGCTGAGAGCTTGCTTTGCTATGCTTTTCTATTCTAGGCCTCGATTTCCTTTTTATCGGAAAAATTACCAAAACAGTCTTAAACCTATTATATCAATTCAGTCCTAAACCTTTTTTTTGTTGTGTTAATTCAGTCATAAACCATTTGCATTTGTATCAATTCAGTCCATCCAGAAAATTTTGGCCGGCCGACATTGGTATGGACACCGCTCGGCCGACCGACGCTGATGTAGCAATCTTTTAATATTATTTTTATTTTTTTCGAATTTTTTTATTAATTTCTAATATTTTTATTTTCTTTTATTTTCTTTTTTCCTTTCTTATTTTTTCCCCTCACTTCATCTTCAATCTCTGGCCGGTCGCCGGGGGCCAACAAGGCCAACCCCAACGACTGCAATCGAGGGCGAGCGTCGACCTCGCCCAGCCAACTACGGCGAGGCCGATGCCAGTGGCCATGGTCGTTGGCGATGGCGTCGGCCTCGCCAATGGCTAGGCGAGGGCGATGCTCACCAGATCTGGCGAGGCTCATCCTCGCCGTCGCTCATGAGGTCGAGCCTCGCCAGGGGCAGGTGAGGCTCGCCCTTAGCAGCAGCCGGCGGGGTTGACCCTACCAACCCCCACAAGTGAAGGGAAAAAAAAAGAAGGGAAAAAAGAAAAGAAAGGGAAAAAGAAAAGGAAAAAGGAAAGAAAAGAATAAATCAATAAAAAATTCGAAAAAAGTAAAAATAATATTAAAAAATTTCCATGTCAATGTCAGTTGGCCAGCTAGCGTCCACGTCAGCACTGGCCGATCAAAATTTGTCAGATGGACTGAATTAGCACAAATGCAAAAGATTTAGGACTGAATTGGCATAAAAAAGGTTTATGACTAAATTGGCACAATTGCAATATATTTAGGACTATTTTGGTAATTTTCCCCCTTTTTATCTCTCCCGATCTATGAGAGCCTTTTCTTTTGCCTTGTTTGGTGTCTTCTTTCACTTGTTGTTGTTGCTTTCTTCGCTCGTCATAGTGAATAAATATACTTGCACTTGAAAATTTTGTGAGTACATCGTTACTAGCCAATCGGATGCCCGGGATGTGATTCTATGACTTCTCTAAGATTCGGCGGAAGCTCTCCTCTCCCGATTTAAGTGTAAATCTAAATCTGGGAGCTTTTCTCTCTTAATCTAAATCTAAATTTGGGAGTTTCTTAGAGGCGTTTGATCTGTGGTGGATTGTTGTCTCCGCAGGGCGATGGTGTTGAGGATGCCAAACCTAAGTTCCCACCGCAAGCCGTTGTTTCAGGAGAGAAGGATCTTGGCATGTGCCCATCACTAACAGTACTGATGATCAGCCGTTTGATTGTTTTTTGATACTATGACAGATTTGGTCTTTTTAGATAAGAGTGTGCTTATAGCTGCAAGTTGTACTCTTTTGTTTTCTAGGTTTTGTTTTGCTTTGTAGCTCTTTTGGGATTTGCTTTGCTTGAGAGTTTTCTATGTTCCTCTCATGTTTGATTATGACAAATGATTGAAATTTTCTTTCAAAAAAATTTTCTGTATATTTCTATGTTCGTATTATAATGAAGACTACATAAGACTTCACCTAATGACTATTTAAGGAAGCGAGATCAATCAGAGATGTGCACAATCAAAGATGTGGACAATCAAAGGAAAATATGAATATGCACAATCAAAAGAATACATAGTCAATCTCCTAGACATATGCACAATTTTGAGAGACATGGAGAATTAAGTGAGATATAAGAATCTCTTAAACTTATCTCGGAAAAAGTGCCAAAAAAGTCCTAAACCTTTTGCATTAGTGCCAATTTAGTCCTAAACCTTTTTTGGTGCCAATTCAGTCCTAAACCTTTTGCATTGGTGCCAATTTAGTCCTAAACCTTTTTAGTGCCAATTAATTTGAAATTGTCTATTCAAAAAATTTTCTGTATATTTCTATTTCGTATTTTAATATTTTTTGAATTTTTTTTTTCCTTTTGGGCGCCCCTTTCTCCCCGGCGGGCGGCCGCCCCCCCAGTCGCCCCCGGACTACTAAGACTTCACCTAATGACTATTTACAAGCGAGCTCAATCGGAGGTGTGCGAAATCAAAGATCTAACAGATCTATTGTGATTTTACAGAAAATCCTTATTAATGTTTTTTAACCTTACATATCGCAAGTTAACTTGCAAGAACTCTTCTGACAGTATTATACTAACTGTTACACTATATCGATCTCTTCAATTTGGCATCATAATTTAAGTTAGGCGTTTTATACATCGACCTTACATATAGCTATCGCTATCAAACCGCCTAATAGCACTTTGGGATAGTGTTGTGAAGCACAAGGGCTGCTTTCCTTTTTGTTATCGTGTTCTCCATTCAATAAGTCAACAGGGGACTGCTTAAGCTTCGCCCCTAGGTCGCTGACCATCTGTCGCTTGGACTATGTCGAATTAAGGTATTAAACTACTCCACAGAGGATTATTTGGTAATTTGCTATTTCTACAGTTCGGAGAAATTTCATGGTTGGCTAGATATTGTTATTATTACTATTATTTTAGTCATAGGCTAGATATTTGTTTAAAATTAATTTTTTATATATTATTTTAAACACATGTTTTCCATGATAAATAATCTGACCCACTTTTACTTTCTGTCTGGCTGCTACGAACGACTCTAGTCTTGGAATTCCACTCTTTTCTTTCTGGGTCAATTTTAAATATATTTTACAAATTTAGAAACCAGCAGCTCTGTCAAATTCTTGATATTTTCAGCTTCTTCTTTTTTTTCTATCTATCACATTTAACCAATCAAATAAATGAAAGTCTTCTTTGACCAGTGCTTTATAAAGAAAGTACGTGCTTTGAACCAGCACCTGAGTTTATATCGACTTTTCTTTTTACGGTAACAATGCTTGACTAAAACTAAGTTTGTTTGAAATTATAAAGAATATGTCATCTGATGTCTTGAAGCAAATTACGAATTTACAAGCGGAAGATGTGCTTCAAGAGAATTTTGTGGAATAAGAGAGATCTTTAGGTCCTCTCAAAACACGAGATCGTTTGCCCACGCGAGCGAATCATCATGTGCCAAAAGGATATACCAAATGCAACCGTAGGTCCTTTACTCTGATATAGTATTCAAATTGAGTACCCGATGAATTGTGTTCTAAAATCTTAGATTGTTTGAGAGCAACTAATTTGTATTTTGAATCTTGACTGTCTGGACTTTACCTATAGCTGATAGACCATGTAAGGTTCCTGAGTAATCCACCGCCAATTATGATGGGCGTGGATTCCAAACCCTACATGGTGTTTCTTCTGATATCTTGATAAAACTCGACTGTTGATGGAGATCTCATTTCCATAGATCAATGCATGATTGAGATTTATCAAGGCATCGAGAGCAAGAGAATGAAACTAGAAGGAGAAGGGACGACATTAGAGTTGGTTGCCGATGTTTGCACAGTAATTGTCGCGATCGAGCAGTTCATTCACTAGACTGTTTGCAGAAACTTTTGTCCTATTTTTTTAGGTCATTGCCTTTATTTGCTTCAGTCCTTTCGCGTTTCGGTCAAAGTTCGCTTTGTGAGCACATGAAGAGATTATTTGTTTGGAAATGGAATGTTCATCATATAGACTGGTATGTGAATTCTTATGGCTATTATGTTTACATCACACACAAAGCACAGGAGAAACATGGAAACGGTCATTAAAGTTAAGAAATTCCAAATTCTGCAGCAAAATGCTTCTGAAAATTGACGCATCTTGATTGGGCGAGTGATGTACGCTGACTCAATTATAGCCAGAGTAGAGATCAATTAATGAAAAAGGGTTTATGAATGTGGTTAGGGCTTGGGAATGATCTCAAAGAGTCTTCAGTATTATTCCCCTTCAGAAAAAATAACTCCTTTTTAATTTTTCTCACGAATCTTTGTTGTTCCTTAAGTTAGGATCAAGACCTTATTGGCTGTGAAAACTTGAGCTTTTCTTTATATTTCTATGACTACACTTCATGACTAGGATTTCTTCAGCAGTAACATTGATTGCATGTCACAATGCAGGCGGGATTTCTCCGTCGGTGAAAGATCATTGAAGCTTAAACACTAAACTGATAGTTTCCAGAAGATAAATTGCCTGATTGACTTTTCATTGATCAAGACAATGTCTTTGCAGTTTGCACAATCAAAATAAAAACTGTTCATCCCCACTCGACAAACCGACATCCAATATGGGAAAGGGTATTGGACTTCCAAAATCCACCTCAGCATCCATGTTGACCTCTCTCTTTCTCCTCTTCATTCCCGTCATCAAGTCATCATCGTTGGAGGTGGACGGTGAGCTAGACTTGGCGGACCGACGCTTGGGTCTGACCCGGACAGGATCGTGCTCAGCCGAGCCGAGGAGGTGAGGGAAGTTGAGCTTGGCCTTGGACCCCCTAATCTTAAAAGCAGCCTGGTCGTAGGCCAATGCCGCGTCCTTGGGCGTCTCGTATGTCCCGAGCCGAATCCTTTGCCCGCTCTTCTTGGGGTCCCTTGTTACCGCTGAGTATTTTCCCCGCGGTCGCCTCCTCACCCCTCTATATTGCGTCTTCTCAACCAGCACTTGTACCTCAGGCTCCAACGTCTCCAGTTTCTCTGCCGTCCCCCAACCAATGCTGTTGTAATCAGTGGTCGTCACTTCAAAATCAAGTTCTTGATTCGAAGCCGAAGGTATCATCCACCCGGAATTGAGCGCGTCGCTCAAAGCGTCGTACATCAACGTGTCCTCTGAGTTGTCAACTTTTAGGTTCAATGAATTTTGGGCTTGAACAGTCTTAGATAGTTTAGGTTTTAGGATTTTAATTTTTTAATTTAAGATTTTAGAGGAATTTGGCCAATTTCCGAGGCCCAGGCCCAAGGTCTACACAAATAAAAAAAAAAAAAAAAAAATAAAAAAAATTAAAAATATTAAAAAAAAAAAAAAAAAAAAAAAATAAAAAAAGAGTAAAAAAAATTTATATTTAGTTTTATTTATAATTATATTAAAATTATTTTGTTTTTATTTATTTATTTATATAGGGGTTTTAGGGGTAATGTTATACTTTTATTTAGTTTAGAAAAAAAAATTCTTATGAAAAAAAAAAAAGTTTTTAATAAAAATTTAAAAAAAATAATGGGGGTGGGGGCCCTAAGGCTTAATAATAATGTCATGTTATTTTCTTTGCCCGACTCTTATCGGATTACTTTACTGCACTTCGTTCTTTACTCGTCCATTCATTACTATCTTTGAGTGAATTGATTGTAATTCTTTTATATTATATTTTTTTCTTGAATTGCAATTTGTCTGTTTTAATCAAATGGTTAGGTTACTTTTTTAGGATCATAAAAAATATAAAAACGGTGCATGGTTACTTAGCGGACTATAACTTTAGGACTCATTATTGAATAAGAAAACTACATGTGACGCTTAACTGACAAATGATTAAGTTTAGGTACAGAAAATGCATTATTTAGATAACTAATGTAATTAAGTTCCTAATCTTTGATCTCTAGTTGCGTATAGAGTGATGTATATTCTCATAGCTCTCTTGGTTTCTAGCCAACCCCAATACGTTAGTGGTGACTTTTTATATAAAATTCTCTTAGGGTTAATCGAAATTGAATATCTCAACATCACGTGAGGTAAGGGTTTAGGAGAACTCATGCCGAATGGAGATCCGCTGAATGGGGATCGTTGGTTCCAACTTGAAATTACCTCTAAACCCGTCCTTTTCCCGACAGGGTTGCGACAATTACACAAATCCTCCCTGTCTAGAGAGCTCTATGAATATGTATAAATGAGAGTTCTTCTTACGACTAACACCTCCTACTCTCATTTCACTCTTATATACCCACGTATATAAATAATTGAAACTCTCAATATAAATAATTAAAATACAATGTGAAGAAACATATACTATTTGGTTAAATTTGTTTGCAGGAAAGCAATTGGGTTAATCACAGTAATTCCATGATTAAAAAAAAGGAAAAAATCTAAAGAAAAAATAATTAAAATTTTGATAATTATAAGGATGAAATACGGTGGCTAACCTTCTCGTATTATTAGATTAGAATTGACTATTCGTGTCGTGTTATATCATAATGGTGTATCCAATTTATGTTCAAATTTCTCAATAATTCATATTACATTCAAGTCATGCTTTTTTGTTGCATCAGAAATTGCAATCCTTAGTATAAAATAATTTATATTCATTTTACTTTCTACATCACATTGTATTTTTATTTTTATTTTTTATTAATTATCAAAATCCATATCAAGAGAGATAAGTAACTTTCTTTTTCAACAAATCAGGCTAACTTAAGGGTGCATTCGTTTCACGAAAAATGAGTGATTTAGAAAACATTTTCCGAAAAATGATTGCTTATATTATTTAGAAAAATTAGTCAACGGAAAATATTTTCATCATTAACAACAATTTATGCCCAACTATTTTTGTGGGTGATGAAAAAAATTTCCAATTGTTTATTTTTGTAAGCGATACAAGCGATTATTTTTTGGAAAATGTTTTTCAAATCACTCATTTTCCCCAAAACAAATGAAACCTAAGTAAGTTCCCTGCGTGTCTTAACGAATTTTTTTTTTTTGAAAAAATTCCAATATAAATATGTATATAATTTACATATTGAATATTTAATTTTCTTTATTTATGGACTCTTCAATTTTATTTATTTTATTTCAGATCAATATTTCACCATCTAAATTTTGCATTTAATTATCCCACGTTTCTTTTTCTGAATAATGTCGTTGGGTTTATTTCTTTAAACATTGCACACATGCAAAAGAAATTATTTTCAACAACAAATAAGTATCTGGTTGCTAGTCATAAATAAAATAAAACAAATGGTTCAAGTTGCACTGTCGCTCAACGAAAGCAACAGTATTGTTATGCAAACAAAGTCCATTTTTTATATATCTAATATACATTATTTGGCCTAAGGTATTCTATACAGTTAAAGCCAATTTTCATTTTCATCCAAAACCCTAGAAAGCCCTCTTCCTCTTTCTCACGTCATCTCCTCCTACACATTTTTACTAGAAAACAACAATCATGGACTGCTCCTGCTCCTTAGCCTTTGCCGAGGGGACATCAGCCGTGTGAATACGCGTCCAACTTTCCTCATCGTCCCCACCAGACTTAGCCGCACGACCCCTTTTTAATCCAGAACCACGATGCAGAATGTCCAACAAATGGATTCCGGACGCACCGAATGCATGGACTCTTCGTCTCGTGTTGATCTGTTTCATAGTGCTATTAGTTTTTGCCATATTCCTTTGTCTCCTCATTGGGCCCTATTACCCCATGTTGAAAGTCGCTAGGCTGATTGTGTTCAATCTCATGGTCAGTGAGTCCAACAGGGCTACTTAAAAGCCCTCTTGATGAAAAAAAAAAACCAGATATTTACGTAAACTTGTTGTTCCGTGTGGTCGAGTGCTTCGTCTACTACCAGTGGGAGTCAACGCAACCCTTTGCATTAGCGTTAGCAAAGTTATTCGTGCTGCAAGCTGCGGACACGACTGTAATAAATGCGAAGATAACAACGGAGAGGCTCAAGGTGGTAATGGTTGAGGACATGGATTGAGAGCGAAGGTCTATAGGGATAGTGTCTGTCGGTTTGGGCTTGAAAATGCGGGGCAAGTACGTGCTTGGGTCATGGTGGAAGAAGGGCTACAACCGTGTTAAAGCTCACTGAGACAACTTGAGGGTTACCTTCGCGAATTCTAAGAGGGAGGGAAGCATAGTCACTAGCAATAATTTCGCAATAATCCTCTATTTAATAATCATCCGTTATGCTCCTATAACGACGTTGATTGAATCCTATAATAAAATGGACACGAAAAAAAGTCATGGATCACTAAATAATGGATGGAAAAGAAAAGGACCATTATGGCCAAAAAGAGCTCGAGGCGAGCTCATAAACCTTACTATCAAAAGCAGCTCCTAAGCATGGGGTTGTGTGGATCGATTCAAATAACATCATTATAAGAGCACGACGGAAGATTATTGGATGGAAGATTATTGTTGGTGAATAAATTATCCCTGGTCACTAAGCTCCCTCCCCTATAGAATTCGCAACCCTCAAGCTTAGTAAGTTTCAATGCAACCATAGCCCTTTTTTCCACCACGACCCAAGCACGTACGTGCCCCGCATTGTCAAGCCCAACCTAACCTCCGCTCTCGATCCATGTCCTCAACCACCGCCTCCTCGAGCCTCTCCATCATCATCTTTGCCTTTATCACATTCCTGTCGGCAGCTTGCAGCACAAATGGCTCCGTTGATGCCAATGCCAAGGGTTACGTGTGTCTCAATGGTAATAGAGGAAGCACTCGACTTCACGGAAGAACAAGTTTCTGTGAATATCCGATTTCTCCACCAAGAGGGCAGTTATCTAAGTAGCCTCGGTAAATTCGGTAACTGTGAGATTGGACATAGTCAGCCCAGCGACTTTCAATATTGGGTAATCAGGATGCAAAGGAAGATGGCGAAAACCAGTGACACTATAAAACAGATCAACACGATAGTCAACGTGATACAGAGAATCTATATGTCCGATGCGTCCGGCATCCATTCGTAAGACATTCTACAACATGGCTACAAATTGGAAAAAGGGGTGTGCAATTGAGGCGAGTGGGGACAGTGAGAAAAGTCGGATGCATGTTCACTCGGCCAATGTCCCCTGGGAGGAGGATGAGGAGCGGGGTAGCCCATGACCACTATTTTCGGGTCGGAATGCGGAGGAGGAGATGCCATGGGAAAGAGGAAGAAGATTTCTAGGGTTTTGGATGAAAGTGATTAATGGCTTTAACTATATAAAAAACCTTGACCAATATATATATATATATAATGGACTTTGTTTGCGTAAGAGTCTCGTTACTGTTGCTAAGTGACAGTGCAACTTGAACCGTTAATTTTATTTTATTTATGACAGGTAACCGGATACTTATTTGCTGTAGAAAATAATTGCTTTTGCATGTGTGCAAAATATTTATCAAAAAAAAAAAGCCGACATTATAAAACAAAACCGTGGGGGTAATTAACCGCAAAATTTAGATAGTAACTAAAATAAATAAAACCGTGGGGGTAATTGACTAGGGGTGAGCACGGTTCCAAGGTAGAACCGGGAACCGAAAAACCGAACCGGCGGGTAAGGTTCGGTTCCCGGTTCTAGGGTGGGCGGTTCCGGTTCTCGGTTCCAATTTTTTAGGAACCGCCAGTTCCGGTTCCGGTTCCCGGTTCCGGAACCGAGAACCAGGAACCGGAACCGACGCTCTTCCTAGTAAAAAATAAAAACCCTAACTTTTCTTCACAAATTTCTCTCTCTCGGTTGCTCCTCCGTTGCGCCCTCTCTCCCACTCCCCACACCCACGACTCGACGAGACCCTCTCGCCTCTCCTCGCTCCGTTCGGCGTCCGCCTCGACTCTTCCTCTGTCTTCATCAACTGCGGTCCGGCTCATCCACGGCGGATTTCCGATTCTGAGTTTTTTTGGTGACCAATCGAGCGGCCTGTGGCTGGAGGCGCAAGAAGGGAGCGAGCAAGGACAAGAGTAAGCATCAGTTGACGCCAGCGCAAGCGAGGGCTCCGCCCGCGCTCCCTCTACCCACTCCTCCCCTCGCCAAGGCATGGGCTCGAACCCCTCGACTTCGATCATCGATGCGTCCTCGAAATTTGACGTCTTTTCTTTGGGTGCTGTGGTTTCAGTTTTAGATCGGGCTATGCCAACTTTAGGTGACGGCGGATAAAGAGAGGAACATTGCCCATGCTCGCGACGCGATTCGAGAGGCCGCGGACAAGGGTGCTCAGCTTGTTCTCTTGCCCGTGAGTCTCTCTGTATTAGGTAGACTTAGCAGATGTTTAGGCAAATGTAGCCCATGTTGAATGAAAAAGGTCATTGAGCATTTCGTGTAGTTGCGGAAAGTTTGGATGTGCCTCCTGATTGCAAAATGGGAAATTTATGGCTTACAAGAACTTTGTATACCTTATCAAATGCCCTTTTGTGAAGGCGTGCACCAGAAGAAAGAATGGATAAAAGCATCTTGAGCGGGCACGTGTCTGTTTCATCAGTTTTGGGTGACTTTCTGTGGCTAAGTTCTTATTGATGCTTATGTAATTGCTATGTTTTTATACTGCAAGCTTTGGCTTCCAGTAAAATCAGCCATATTTGCAGCCTGCGCCGTTCTATAAAATGAGGGAAAAATCACGCAGCTTGCCTCATGGTTTTGTTGACTCTGTGCCGGGAAATATGGAACAGTCCCTATTCAAATGATAGCTTCCCTGTTTATGCTAAGGACATTAATGGAGGTTCATCTCCTTCAACTGCTATGTTATCTGAAGCTCGCTAAGGCCTTGAAGGTTACCATAGTGGGCAGTTCAATCCCTGAAAGATGTGGTGATCGATTGTACAACGCTTGCTGTGTTTTTGGTTCCATTGGAGTGCTAAAAGCCAAGCACCGCAAGGTAACTTTTCTTTCCTTAAGTAACTATGTATGGAACATTTAGTTGCCTGAGTCTTCTGGTCTATCTGTTGTTTGAGTTGTTTTCTTTTCTTTTCTTTTCTTTTTGGCTCTATGCAGACGTTGGACGTATTGGTATAGGCATCTGTTATGATATTCGGTTTCAGGAATTGGCAATGATTTATGCTGCAAGAGGTAGGCTTCGTTTCCTCTTCGTCTATTTTGCATTTCCTACAATGTTGATCGCATCTTGGTCTGGGGCTGCATCGGCCCATCTATGCGGTTCAAAGTAAGAAGATTTCGACGATAAACATGTATGTCTTAAGTGGTGGACCTTTGGATTGTTTTCCTTTGATTTATTTTCGTTTTATCCCTTCCAATGATTTTTAAGTCGAACATCAGCAAAGTAAGCCTTGCACAAAGGGGGCTTAGCTGTATAAATGCTTTTACGACATTGCGATATGTCCTCTATTGCTTTTTGTATAGAAGATATCTCTTTGCAATATTGAGTCCTAATTAGCTAGTTTTTGCCTCCTCTACTATTATATTGTTTTAAGTTTCTTTCCTAGATTAATGAGGTTTGCTATTGGTGTTGATAATTGGCCTTTTATCGACAATATCATTCTACTAAATATATTTGCACTGATCCATTGATAATAAAGTTATATGATGCTGAACTCTTGGTGTTTTCTATTCTACATAAATGGATCTAGGTTGTTAGATAATATCCCCTTTCTACTAAGCAAAATATTGTTTTTCAATAACTAGTCATTGTCGCGTTTATTTTCGTTTTGTTTAATTAAAAACGAAATTAAAAAAAAGAACATGTTGGAACCTGGAACCGACCCTGGAACCTGTGACGGGGTAGGTTCCAGGTTCCACGTTCTGACGGGTAGGTTCCAGGTTCCAAAAAATGAGGAACCTGTACCTGAGGGTAGGTTCCAGATTCCAAGCGGAACCGAACCGGAACCTGGAACCGCTCACCCCTATAATTGACTGCAAAATTAGATAGTGACCGAAATAAAAATAAACAAGATTTAAGATTCCATAAATAAATACAATAAACATCCAATATGTAAATTATATACATATTTATATTGGATTTTTTTCTTAGGTTTTTTATTTGTTAAGATAAACGGGAAACCCAAGTTAGCCTACTGTTTGTAAAAAGACATCATTTTCATATTTGTGATTATCTGAATTTTGGTCATTAACAATACTAGGTTTTATTTTAAACTTACTTTTAGTAAAATTTTGTCATTTATGGGAATCGTCTCCCAAGATAATTGGACAAAAAAGTCTTCTGGTTTCCTTGGGAATTGTATTGGTGCAGTCACCTAGGCATCTTCCATATTATATCGCTCTAAGGCAAGACTCAAGCGTTAAGAGTGCCGAATAATAATTATCATTTTCAAATTCATTTATAAAAGCAAATCATCACTTTCAAGTCTTTGTAATTTTGTCTGCAGCAATATTCATCGATATATTATCGTTGAAGAATTTTTGTTGCATGGTCAAATGTGAAATCAAACTTTTAATTTTAGTTTGAAAATTGACAATAAGAACAATGGTAAGATTCTATTTTCCAATTTGATAAAGATATTTAAAAACAAAATTAGTCTTAAAGATCACCTATCAACTCTAATACCAAAAAATGAAAATAAAAGATATAAAAATTAAGCACTTACCTACCAAATCTCTACCTCAATGAAAACATGAAATGAAATTTTGTGGACTATGGTTTCACCCTTTTGCTATTGCCATCCACTGACTTTAATATAAAAATTTGAGAAAACGACATAATGGTCCATAAACTTTGGCCTATATATATATTATTGTCGTTGAACTTTTAATTTATTCAATCTAATTCCCAAACTTTAATTCAATGTGTAATATCTTCCCTAAACTTTTAATTTGTTCAATGTGATCTATGAACTTTTTCTATATGTTCAATTTAGTTCTTATACTATATGAAAATAGTCAATCTTATTCTTAAACATGAATCAATGGAAGAACAGTATTGAACATTTTCATATAGTCAACTAAATTCAACATGTATCAACAGTCTAAGGACCACATTGAACACATTAAAAATTCACAGATGACATTGCACATTTGGCCAAAGTTCAGGAACCACATTGAATAAATTAAAAACTTATGAGCCACATTACACATTGGGTCAAAATTCAGAGATTATTTGCATTATTAACCCTAAGAATTTCGATTAAGGAATTGCTATATCAAAACTCATTCTTGGACTCGCATATAGAGGTTGATTACCATGCAAACTTATGTGATTTTTTTGTCCTCGTGTTCTTTTTCTTTCCTTCATTTCTTTGCTTTCCCTTCCACGTGCATGCATTTATGATTGGAGTTTCACATTTTTTTTCTTGGTTCTCTTAATGCGATTATGTTTACTTTCTGATTATCTACTTCGTAATAGGGGCTAGGTGATGATAAAACCGTCCAATATTCACAATTTCTTTTGAGGTCACTTTAATGATATCTTATTTTTTTAAAATGACTCCAAAAGTGTATACCGAGATGTGTATAATTTACCTTATGATGTGACAAACATTTCCGTCATATGAACAGGAGGGTAGCATTTCTCTTTTTGATCACTCGAGTAATGCTATTTGCGTTTATCATGAAATTCCATCCACTCAGGAAAAACAACCTTGACACCCAAGAGAACTAGTAGAATTATATAGAAAAAAACGAGTGGAAGAGCTGGCAACTTCCTACACGAATTAACATGTTTATACATGATTA